GCCTGGGCGAACGAGGCTTCGCCGACTCGAGTCGTGGTCTTAGGATGGGCGACTGGGGGAGGGGGAGGTGCCATGCTGCCTTGGGCCGGCTGGCCCTGGAATGAGGTGAAGGCGTTCGGGTTTGAGGGGCCAGCGACTTGAGGAGATTGAGCCGGAGCAGGGGGAGGGGAAGCGACTCCGAGAATGGACATGAGCAAGTCATCGACCGTCTGGCCAGGTGGATGAGGCGACATGTTGGGGTTCAGTGTGGGCTGAGCGGGCTGAGGGGAGATTGCAGAGACAGGTTGTGATTGGGGTTGAGAGGGCGGTTCGAGATCAGGCAGAGTGCCTTGCTGGGACGACGAGTCTGCGAGTTGACCTTGCGAGTGATGGTTTGAGAGTCCAGCTGCTGGTGAAGTCGACGGTGGAGGGTATGGGGATTGGGTGGATTGCGGTGGTGGAGGAGGCTGAGTGACAGGTGAAGGGTAGTACGCAGGTCCCGGTGGTGGAGCGTTCTTCGTTGGCGTGCTTGATCCGGACGCCTGACATCAGCGAAACGGACAAGAGGGGCTAGTGACTCACTGTAGTCAGACCAGCAAACAGTCTCGAAAGCCCGTCGCTGGGTTGTTGAGTAGGAGGAGCAGTCAGAGACGAGATGACGGGCGCCGCGGGTGGCAGGACAGCCGGCGAGCCTGTTCCACCGGGTTTCTTGACTGGTTCACCGCATATCCTCCCCATCAGCCGTTTTTTCGACACGGATTTCATCAATGGACACACCGCAGAATGGTCTGTCTAAACCGCTCGACATCCTCCGCGCCATCCGAGAACCATATACCCCTCTTCACTTCTGCCTGATCAGCCTGGACGTGCAACTATCGACATATATCTCGACTGACTCTCGCCCCTCCGCGCGACTTGGAGCGTCGTGGGGTCGACTATCGTCGCCTTCATCTCCCCAGGTATCAATGGCATCGTGACGTTCTTGACAGCTTGGCGGTTGAGCATGTACAGCGCGTACTCTGGCGCTTTATCCCTGCTTTGAGCGTCGCGCCTTTCGCGTACCCTAGCGGGGATGACGATAGCGACTCACCTTCGGACAATGAACAGAGGTCCTTCTTGCTTTTGCTTCTCCCATGCTCCGGCCGCTTCGTCGTATAGGTAGATGACGGAATACACGCTCGTATCGAGGATCTCGACTACACTGGGGTCGTTTCTCGTCACTGATCGGAAGTTTGTGCTCTGCTTGAACGCCGCGATTCGGTCGTCTTCGGCGGCGGAGCCTGGCCGCGGTGGCAGAGCCCCTGACGGTCCAGCTGGGGTATACATTGTGTTTAGGTCGGTATGGAGAGTAATGAAGGTATGAAGGAAACAAAGGTTGCTACCTAGTGGATACTGTGGCCAGCCATGACTGGGGTCACTGGCTGGTCGAATGGCGTTCGCCGCCGAGGGGCCCAGAGGTGGGAGATGGGATCCGACGACCGAGGGGGTCGTTCCAGAGTGACATGCGTATATACACGTTTCTACACCATAGTCCTCTTTGACAACAACGACCAGCGGTAGCAGACGACATGCATCACAAAGATGCCACCTCGTCTCTCCGTATCGACCTGTCTACGTCGACGATGCTTGTATAGATCGCATAGAGCTCTACACTCGTTCACCCGGACGGACCTCGCGGCCGTCCAAAAGGTGCTCGACCCATTGCCCGCTTTTCCACTCACCGCCGCCCCGGCGCACACACATACCAACCCCCGAGGTCGACCTCCCTCCGACTCGGCCGTCTTGATCCCCCTGATCAATATCAACGACGAGGCGCATGTCTTGTTCCAGATCAGGTCGACGACGATGCGCGTACACGCCGGAGAAGCCGGGTAAGTGGGCCCATTCGAGCCGGTCCACCCCTGCACCACCAGCTGATGGCAGATTCCCCGGGGGCAAGGCGGATCCTGTACATTCTCGTCTCTCTCCATTCGTTGAGCACAGCGCTGATGGAAGGAAGACGTCACGCTCGTGGATACCGCGTTGAGAGAGGCTAACGAGGAATTGGCACTGGACCCGAGATCAGTCGAGCTTCTGGGCAGTCTGCCACCTGAATACAGCTTGGGCAACCGGTCAAGAGTCTGGCCAGTCGTCGTGAGTCTTAGCACCCACACTCGACATCTACCCCTCCACTGCCCAGGTGGACACTGATCCCAGGGGTTCGTGCATGCTGCTCCTGACTTTGAGAACATCAAGCATCCACTCGACTCGCCCCTCGCGTCGACGGACATTTCCACCTTTGTGCATTCCCCGGACGAGGTCGATGCAATACTCCCCCTCCCCCTCTCTGCGGCACAGGATCCCGCACGTCAGCATCTGCGCTTTTTCCGCTTGGAACGGCACAAGCCATACTGGAAGATCAGGGCAGAAGATCTGGTCGTGCCCCCGATGAAAGACCCCTTGGAAGTGTGGGGTTTGAGCGGTTGGTTCTTCAACCTCCTGGCGTGGCGGACCGGCTGGCTACCCAAGCCGCGAGCATCAGAACCGAACGATTGGTTGTAACTTGTAACTGGTAGTGAACTGCTCCAAGCGGCAATTTTGCGAAGAATTAAGACGAGCATCATCACATGCACCTGAACAATCTCCCACTTCAGCCAAAGAACAGCACCCCTTGGGTCTCGAGCTCCCCACGACTCAGACCTTTCTGCCCCAGCAGCTCCATTCCAACTGCAGCCGCCATTTCCCTGATTTGCTTGTACACCATGTCTGAATCCCCGAACATCAGATCCTACCATCAGCTTTGATCACACACACCCTGCGTACCCCGACAGTGACCAAGACAGACTTCCGGAGGATCCCTCGGCCTTTCATCAATACGAGTAACTGCTCGATCTGATCATTGGCATATCCTTCAGGATCGCTCCAGCCAGGCGTGTGACCCGAGGGGAACTCGTCCATCTCTTCCATGTCTATATCGGCGTCCCCGACTTCGCCGCCCTGGTCATTTTGCGCGATTGTCGCTTCAGCCTGGATCTTGTCGTTCTCTATGTCCATAAAGGGGTAGTAGCCGTGGGTGTGAGAGCGTAAGAACCCGTCTAGCTTAGGGCCGAGGAGATGGAAGCGGTGAGTATCCTGCCCGGTCAGTAGAGGGTCATAGAGAGCCGCCCAAGCCATACCGGTTCCAGGAGGTACGAAGGGCTGTATTCCGACTTATACAGCATTTTCCCACACCCCGGGATCCAATAACCTGCGTCTCAGCGACCATTCCTGTTGGCGCATTCCCTGCTCACCCATATACACCCAGCCCATGTCCATTGCACCAGCCGCCCGCATATCCCGAACAAGCGCGATTTCCCTCATCGCCGAAACCTTGCCCAGACTCGCCCACGCGTAACCAGGGTCCCATATGAAGTAGACTGACGACACGCAGAGAGGCAGAATGTCGATGACAGATATTCCGATCAGCTCGCCGTCGACACGGTAAACTTTTCGTCAGCGGTCTTCTGGCTTCGAGGCTTACGGAGATGGTATGAGCCGTATTTCTGCGGCAAATGCGTCGTGTCGGCATCGTCGCGGTACTCGATCACCGCGTCCTGGTCTCAGTACAGCTCCTCCGGCTTGCAGCTAGGGAGAGGAAAGGGGACATATGTCCTCATCAAGAACTCACCGCCAAAGGGCTGTCGCAGAGAAATCGCCGATAACCGCTCATCGAGACCTTGCTCGGGGGATCCTTGTGCACCGCTACTTGATACTTTCTATACAGCGCGAACGTCTCCGCCGTAGCCTTTGCAGGCACGAGCTCGGTCTGCTGTCAGCAAAGTGTCAAGAGTGGGAGACCATCTGCATTACCCAATACCGATGCTTTCCTCTCGGCTCAACATCACCCTCATATTTTTTCAATTCAGCCATAAACTCCCATTCTCGAGCTTTCGCCTTGGCGGATGATTTAGCCGAGACTCCCGCAGAGGTGCCGCTTGGCTCGTGGTGGGTCGAGGGTTCACCGCCGGACTTGACCCCCTCGCCGAGGTACCGGTTGAAGCGGTTGATCACCTGACGTTGTTTCTTGGTAGGCTTGTAGGCAAGCGCGTCCAGGCGAATTGTATACTGTGGACAGCAAGTCCGAGCCATGTCCGGTCTGGACGGTGAGATGGGGCAACAAGCACGAAGGAGAAGAGAGAGATGTGCGTACTGGTAGACATAATCCCCTGACCGTCTCCAACCCCGGTCAATCAGCTTTTGGTAGAACTGACCTATCAGTCTATGCGGAAGTCAGTGAAGGGATGGAAGCCCACCTCGCAGGTCATCTGAGGTGCGACCACTGGCTATCAGCGGAGACCCTTTGTACAAGCCGAAAGAAGGACCACCACTCACATCCGTACTTCTTCGACCCGGCGCCGGCGCTTCGGCTCCCTGAAGGCGAGCAATACCCGCAAGAAGAGGAAGAGTAGCCGTATGGAGTGAGCAGGGAAGGGGCCGACATGGAGACTAGATGCCTATATAAGAACGATGTGTGGGATTTGGGAAGAGTCGAAGTCGAGAAGCTCGAGTGGACATGAAACACGCCGGGGCTCCCCGAGCTAAAGACGCTGACGCCGATGCCGCTTGTTGTATAGGACTCCAGATTGTTCTTACTCAAAGGGCTTGCTTTCGTGTTTTTTTTTTTTTTTTTTTCGCACCGACCAGTGTGTGGACGAGAAGGGTGAGCTCCAATACATGGCATCTGGGGTGCGTATGCATGGTCGTGGACGAACTTGGCGCAGGGGAAGCAAACACTCATCGCGCGTGCACAGGTAGCTGCTGGAGGAATATAAGCAGCATGCGGTCTTCGAAACTAAGAGTTGTAATTCACGACTCTCAGGACAACGTGCCCGAGTGGTTAAGGGGACAGATTAGAACGTTTTATTGTTTAGATCTGTTGGCGTCAGCCGCCAGAGTTCAAGTCTCTGCGTTGTCTTATTGCTTCCTTTCCTTTTGGGGTTGTATTGGGGACTGCTGCGTGTATATATTTGGGCCCGTCTGAGTCAAAACATCGGTTGTCCAATGACAACGTGCCCGAGTGGTTAAGGGGACAGATTAGAACGCTTTATTGTTTAGATCTGTTGGCGTCAGCCGCCAGAGTTCAAGTCTCTGCGTTGTCTTATATATTTTTTCGCTTTTTTGGATACTTTTCCGCCGCGCCGTCCTTCTCGTCCCGCTCACGGATTGCCATGCACGGCAAGTCTGCCGGATGGATGGGTGAGAAGCCGCTCAGCTAATCTCGGCGAGTGCACGTGGTGTGAGACACGTGCGGTCTGAAGTCGCATGGCGTGGCGGGGAGGAGCAGGTCGTTCCGACGGTAAAATGAGCTGCATACGAGTAGGTGCTTGTGATATACGCCCCGCAAGGCACAGTGTACAGCGCTGAGTAATAATCATCTTTCCGCGATGATTGGACATGTGTCCACGTCAGTGGTCGCTTTTGCATTCATCAAACGAGTCGCACCAAGTCTTGAGCTTGGCGGTGACGCGCTCCCCCGCATTCGGGCACCGGGGAACGGCGGTAAGGTTGGTCATGCACGATGACTGATCCAAAATGAATGTCCGCCGGCGGGATTCTGCACCGTACATAAACCGATCGCGACGTTGGTTGGGCTCAGAATCTACTTAGTCTCCTTTCGCACTGAAACAACCGATCTAAACACACCAATGCCTCGTATCGCAGTGATCCTCGGCGTCGGACCGGGCTTGTCAGCCTCGATCGCGCGCAAGCTGACCGCAACGCACAACCTCGTCCTCCTCTCTCGGTCCATGCCCGATTCGTTTCCCAGACTGAACCTCGACCTTCCTCCCTCCTCTTACCTCGCCTTGCCATCCGACGGATCCCGCCCTTCCCTCGACACGGCCATCAGCGAGGCCAAGAAGAAATGGCCTCAGGGGACGATCGACGTCGGCATCTTCAACACCGGCGGGGGGTTCACACCCGGCCCGTTCCTCGAGCAGAAAGAAGAGACGCTCCGGTTCAATTTCGAGAAGAACGTCATTGCAGCATGGAACTTTGGTCAGGCGTTGATCCCCGTCTTCTTGGACAACGCGCCGGGGGAGAATGGCGGCAAGGGGACGTTGATCTACACGGGCGCGACGATGGCCGTGCGAGGCGGCGCGGCGTTTAGCGCCATGGCCCCGACGATGTTTGCGAGGCGGGCGTTGACGCAGAGTCTCGCGAGGGAGTTTGGGCCGAAGGGGGTGCATGTCGCCCATGTTGTCGTGGACGGACGAATCGGTACCGAGGCCGGCGAAGAAGGGGTGAGTGGGGAGGTGTCTGTCTTCATCCCATCTGTCGATCCATCGATCCGCCCATCTGCTGTGGATTAGAGAGGTTGCTCAACTCTCCAACCGTCTCATCATTCTGCCTTCTCACTCAGCCCAAATAGATCCCCACTGACAGCAGCACCTCAACCCCAAAGAGATCGCAGAGACCTACGTTTCATTGGTCAACCAGCACAAGAGCGTCTGGACCCAAGAACTCGACATTCGCCCTTACGACGAAACGTTCTAGCTCGAGTCGTAGTCACCGAAATGTACCATCGCCCCCTGTACCAGTACCTCACACTTGCGATGCATCAAAAGACCGAAATGTCGACCCCAGCGGTGAGACACATATACCCTATCCACTGTCCGCCTCTATCCCAAAGATTCGACATAATAATGTTTTTGTTCACACTGCGCATCCTGATTTCCCGAGCCACCCAGTCCACTGACCAACACTCAAGGCTTCGTATTTGGTACCCTCGGCCCCATCGGGCCCGTACTCACCGGCCTGCCCTTTTCCGCAAGGGCAGCCTCGGCTCGAGCACGTATCTCGTCCGCCGTCATGTCGCTCAAGCCTGAACCCCTACTGACGCTCTGTCGCAGATCGTTCACCGGAGGCGATCGCGCGTCCACCGGCTCCTGCAGCGACCGGGTCGAGTGAATGCTCGCTGGTGGAGGCGACAAAGGGATCAGAGGCTGCTGAGACGTCGCCCCATCGGATACCCGTGGATCGTTCCTGTACGTAGGGGGGAGCTCGATCACCTGACTGTCAGACTCACACTCTACAGGACCCGTCCATGACCCACATTAGCATCGGCCTCTGGCAGGCGAATGTGCACATCTCCTCCGCCGTCCGCATGCACCACATAGACGTTTCGCCGTCTCCTGCTCTGCGAGTCGTACTCTTCATCCTCGTCGTCTTCGTGTATGCTCCTGGTTCGGACACTTGCGGCAGGACCGCCGGCGGCTTGCAACCTGACGAGCTTTCCCCGTCCTCTCGGACCACCACTACCTCCGCCTTGAGGTCCTTCCGCATGCCCACTACTTGCCCTGTTATTCTCAGGGCTGAGTGTCCGGGGCGTTGCACCCTCGTCTCGTCCTTGCGGTTGAAAGTCTTCCGGCAACGACCGCCTCGACTGTCTCGGATCGAATGGGTAGGGGTAAGCCTGCTGGTCTGGCGGTCGCGGGAAGGGACGGACATCGTTGTGCGCGCCGGGTACAGCGGGATAGGATCCAGTCTGCGAGGACAATAACGGGTCGTACAGCGCTGTAGGAGTCTCGTAACCGATTGGCGGGGACAAGTCGGAGTATGGTCCTGAAGGGCTTTGACGAGGTTTGTGATAGACCGAGGAGCTGCCCGAGTCGACGCGATAGGAGGCAGGTCGCTGATCACCATACGGGTCGGTGAGAAGCTCGCGTGACTCGCTCTAGTCGTCAGTGTGTTCGCACATACTCAAAAAGGGTCTGTCTCACTCTCGTATGATGCCTTTTCCGTTTCCCAAGCAGCCAAGCCAGCAAGATCGCCCCAAGTGCGCCGACGACAAACGCGCCGACCGCACTACCCGCAAGCACTGCGACGCTGAATGTAGTAGTCGACTTTTTCGGCGTCGTTCCCGTAGCCACCGCCAGGCATTCCAGGTCCTCCGAGTCGCCCGAATGCAATGGTCCGACGGCCCACGAGTTTCCGGCCGAGTCGAACACGGCAGCCATGAATGCTTGACCGTGAGTGAGACGGATAGTGTAGTTCATGGCATAATTATCCCCGCTGGACGAGATGTTGACTGGAGGGTGGAAGGCTGGGGCGATCAGCAGGGTGTATGGCGCTGTCCCGTTTTTGGGTATGAATTGGAGGTCAGAGCCTGGGGTCAATGGGTCGTGCATGAGCTGAATCACACGCGGAACGAAGCTTACATGCGCTTGGCCACGCATTGATGGATACCACCCCCGCCGGGCCGTACATGTCGACATCCAAGGTCTTACTAGGATCCGTTACCCATGATCCCATGACGCTTGGCGTTCGACACTGTGAATTGGCATCGGCGTACGCCCGATCCGTGTCCGCCCCACTCGGCACGACAGTCATGAGATCCTGACAACCACCGCTCACGCCGTTGGACTGCCGATCAGCGCCCTTAATCCCCGCCGATCAGCCATCCATCCGCATTGGACTCACCGACCACATGCAAGCGATGAACTGCGTCCCCGACATCCACGGTGCCGAGATGGACGCCGGGGAATTCAGGTTGCCCAAGTTGATCGTATGAGCGTACATGCGCTCGTATTGCTCCCCGGACCCACTGAGCAGCTGTTCGTGCACGAGGGCGAGCAAGGTATATGGGGCTACTGGATCTGGTCCGCCGTTGCTGATCGGGGTGATGGGCGGGATGACGATGGACTGGGGACATGATACGATGGTTGGCAAGACGAGAGGAGACGACGAGTCGCCATAGGAGAAGAGGTATCCTTGTCGCTGATCACCTGTGTTGGGCGTCGAGGTCTCAGCCATGACCGAGGTGAGAAGAGTCAAAGCTGAGAGCCCTCGGGTGATGGAGATGACTGAGATGGAGATTGATGCCCTGGCGGACGGTGAATGGAATCGCATGATGGCGGTGATCTCGTTGATCTCGTTGTATTTTTCCAACCGCGACAATATTACGGCGTGGTCAAAGGGCTGACCCAGTCTACGGGCGTGTCTGACAATGTCCGCACGGCAAGGGACAGACGGGCTGAAGGGGTGGTATGAGTATGGGTCGATAGGGGGCGGTCAGTCAGGATGTCAAAAGTCTAAAAGTCGGGGGTCCGGCCTTGCGGCCAAGCCCTGGTGCCGGGGTATTTGAAGCGTCGATCACGGCGGTCGAGGGGGGTGAGTGGGTTGTGATGCTGTGAGTCGAGGTAGTCAGACCTGTGTCACCCATGTAACAAGGAGTCAAGAGATGCTGTGGTGCTTGAAAGGGGTCGAGTGAGGGCGGGCGTGTATCCTTTGCCCCCCCCCCCCCCCTCTGCAGGCGGGAAGGGATAGAGTCTCGGCCTGTGAAGTATGGCCATGACATTGTGGAAGCGCGACGCTTTGCAAGGGGGTCGGGCGGGATCTACGAGGTCAAAGAGAATTGAGCGGGATCGCAATCGAACCCCCATCATGATCTTGGCGGGCGGCGGTGTAATCCAATGTGGCACGGAATCAAATCGATCGGGTGATGGGTCTGATCGGATGGCTCAAGGGGGGGAGGCTCAAACAGTGGGTGGCGAAAAGCGACCAGGTCCAAAACGCATCCACGCGCCTGTCCGAAACGCGGATCCCTCCGGGTCCGGGTTTGTCCATTCACAAAAAAAGAAACTCTGGGTGCCTGAATTAGACATGGATGACACTTGGGTGGGTTTTTACCCTTTGTCCACCGTCTCTCTGGGCCCTGGGCCTTGCGGCATACGTAACACCACGTCATACCGAAACGACGCAGGTGGGATCCCATGCAATCGTTGACAAGATCAGTTTCCCAGTGCCAAAGTCAGATCAGATAGATAGGTAGATAGTCACACTGTATCCCCATTCCCATTGTCCATTTCCATCCCCGTCCTTAATCCTAGTTGCAAATCACACCTCCAACCCACCACAGCCATGAGCATCGAGTTCGCCCAATACGTAGTCGAGAGACTCAAGCAATGTCACGTCAAATACGTCTTTGGAGTTCCAGGAGACTTCAACCTCGAGCTGGTACGTGTCAGACGCTCGTCTGCTTACCTGACAAGCTGACCTCGACAGCTCGATTACATCGAAAAGGACCCAGAGCTCGAATGGGTCGGAAACGCCAATGAGCTCAACGCAGCGTATGCGGCAGATGGCTACGCTCGAGTCA